GTGGCTAACAGCAATAGTTTCCGTGAGGCATACCTTTAGAGGAATTACTGCAACTTAGATTAATTTCACTCTATTATATTCCTGCCTGCTAGTTCCTTTTCATTCAACTGAATCAACTGGACTGCTGTGACTTGCTTGCCTGTTCCGCTGTCTGCATCTGGTGGCTGGCCAGTTGCTGTCCCAAGGGCCGCCACTAAGTTGAGGCACGAGGGTTCCCTGCAAAAAATAAAATAAAATAAAATAAAATTATTTTACAATAAATAAGTAAATAAATAGATAATAATAATAATATAATAAAATCAATAATAATAATAAATCAATAGATTATTATTGATCGTTTTAAATATCAATTCTTCATTGATTAGGGAACTGGACAGCTCCCTTGGGCTGAACGCGGCTTATATCGCGTGGTGTGACTCCGGGCTTGTCGGTGGGCCGGACCTCACAGACCCTCGTGCAGGCTTGTCCCATCAAGGTGGGTTGTAGCCTTGTCTCCTGCAGATCAGGACGGATCCAGGGATCTCCTGGTGAGCGCCTGTTGTCTTCTTGTTACGGTACTGCAGATCAGGTCAGATCCAGGGATCTCCTGGTGAACGCCTGTTATTCCTTGTTAGCGTACTATGGCGGATAACACCGTTCCACAGGCTTCCACTTCCGGTGGAAATGTCAAACGCAAGTCGTCCAACCAGGAAGCACCATCAAAAGCCAAGACAAGGGTCAAAGGGACCTCCAAAACGGCAGAGAAGCAGGCAGACAGCAGACATAGAGCGTTGGAACGACAGTTTTCCAGAGCACAACAACGTGCAATGCAGGTACAATCAGTTCCCACTTCTCTCCCCATTGCATCCACATCCGAGGGGCCAAGTCCTTCTCCCCTTCCACGGGCTTGGTCCCCAGAGCACACTCTTGATTCCTCGCCTGGATTCAGTAGGGATCACCTGTCCCTATTTGACCAAGGCCTGAGGATGCAAATCCAGAACCCCGATCCAACCACCGATCCGGGTCTA